GTCTTCCAAGGGACCTGTCCAGTTATTATAGGCCAGTCTCCATCTATGTTAAAGGTATCATAAAGCAGGACAAGAGGGAAACTGAAGAGACTGAAGGATAGGAGAGGAAGAAAAAGATCTTCAATGGATTTGCAACTCAAACAGAGCTCTTCGAAGCAAAGCTATTTAAATCTGAGCTGTTTCTAATATTAATTATCCTCTACATCTCACAGGCTCAGATTCACATGCTACAAAGAACACAAAGCCTTTTAATTTTCTACCTGTCCCTGGTACCAGTGAGGATAAATCAGATATACAGAGAAACCACACATGACTAACGAACCAGTCCGTTAATGGGGAGCAAAGATCATTTGCCAGATGACTTATTCAGACACTGTCACATTTCATAACCAGCAATATCCTAGAGGCTGAACACAGCAGGCACCAAGAGCAAAAGTGAGGGCACTCCCTGCCAAGTCACAAGCAGCCTCCAGATGCCTGCTCTCCAGGCATGAGAGACTAACTCATGGGTGCCACCTCCCAACTCCCTTCAAGTTACACTTGTACTTGGAAAATTCCTGCAACTTCTAAAAGGTTTCTTGGGTCACTGAGCTGCTAAGCCCACAAACTTGACTATAATTCCTACTCTGAGCCTCCTTAGAATTCCAGGTACCTCTGGGAGAATACCCAGCTTCTGGGACCAGCAACTTTAACTGTTAGTCATAAATCTGTAATATAGCCATTCATTAAAGTATCTGAGCTCCAACTAAATGCCAGACCTTACTCTAGGTGTTTGGGCAGTAAACAAGCATAAGTTGGGGACAGAAGAGAATCCCCTAAATGCCAGCCTCTTGGTTTCACCATGAAGACAGATACCCAGTGATAAATAAGAGACTTGAACCCAGGTTGTATTCTTAGCAGGACTACTGAACACAACAGTGTATAAGAGCCCTGGACACACAGCACAGGGAGCGTTGATATTCAACCCATGTTCATCTCACCCAGCCCCACACTCCAGAGTGGAGCTACATCTCCTGGAGGAAAGTACCCTTTCTGTAGTTTGCCTGAAAGCACCATATGGGTTGGGCGAGGGTATGGGTCCCAACTCCAGAACCCCATAAGCACTACCGCAGATTGCCCAGTTCCCTTTAACAAAACCCCCCTTCACTGGAAGGGACAACTGAGGTTCCCCAGATTGGCGAACAACCATCAGTAGAACCCAGTTAAATATTTTTTCACTGGAATATGACTCTGACAGGCTATATACATCCCATCTCTTGTCATATAAAAGAAGAGTCTGTTTAAACTTGAATCCATAAGACACCTACCTGTGGTCAGTGATCCCCATTTCCCATGTTATCCTCAGATCAACAAGGAAAGGCTGCTGCCAAGCCTTCATCCCTTTACATTCCAGCCAATACCTTTCCCCTTCAGGATCCCAAGCTGAGGATTTATTATTGTTAAGCCCATCTCCAAAGCTCAAGATGGGTGACAGAAACAATTAACTTATCAACTATTTGAATATGTACTCTAGGCTAGGTGCTAGGATATAACAGTGAACGTCACCACCACTGCCACCACACCACTGTCCCTGACTTCGTGGAACTAAGGTATGTTGAAAATAGAGCTGAGAAAGCCCAACTGCTAAGGTGTCTCTGACCACACTAACAGTCCACCTAGGGGCCCGGGCTAGAAACAAGAGTGTCTATGACCTACTTTCCTCATCCTCACCCCATTTTACAAGAAGGCCTAGGAAGCAGAGGAGGTGCCTAGCCTAGAGTCAGACAGTTAACAGTTGAGCTGAGACTCCAATCCATGTTCTCAAGGTGTCCTTTCTCTACCATGTTGCTTTCTCCAAGGTTCCAGAGAGGTTTAGGGATAGTCCTGCCAGAGACCTCAAAAAGGAGAGGAGGCCAGCCCAGGGCTGAAGAATAGGCTTTATTTTAAAGCAACTGAAGGGAGTCTGACCAGAAGTCAGCTCAGCTCACACAGTTTCAAGGGACTTTCATTAGTGTAGTTGGAATGCAGGAAGGGGTCATAAGACGTAAGGGAAGTCATCTCCCCTACAGAGCGAAAGATGCTACGTCCAAGACTGATTTAGAATTACTGCCTTCCACAAAAGGTGTTAAACTTGCATGAGGCCCTTTCTCTAGTGCCGGGCAGGACCAGGGTAGGATATCCTGATGCTTCCCAGGAATACGGGCCCTAAAGCATTTCAGGAGGGCGGGGAGGGGGTTGCTGTGAACAGGCCATGTGGTATCTGACCTGCTTTCTATCACTAGCTGTCTTCCCAGGATGGCTGTACTCTTGTCAGGGTCAAGAGGATTTATAAGAGTGTGGGAAGGGGATTGCTATAATCATGCAATTTGGCTTCTGGCCACTTTCTTTCTCTACTTATCTCCCAAATAACTGTACTTTTGTCAGAGTTCTGAGGATTTTTTCCCCACAGTTCCAAAGTGGGGAAGTGAGTTAAAATAGCTGGTTCTAGTGACAAAGTGATGCATGCGTGCCCAGGACCTGCAGCTTCAATCCATCTCAACACAGACCTCATGCCTGTGTCCAACTCTCAGGACGTTCATAAATATATTTGGCTGATCTAGAGCCAGAATATCCAGTTTTCATTCAAACTCATTTATCTCACTCTCTGACTCCCTCTTGAAATTTACTTTCACTTTAAAAACCTCATAAGAACAGGGCCCTTTTTATCTGATGCTAGCTCCCTCTCTGCTCCTTGGGTCTAATCAATCCATGCCTGCAAATAAACAAACCAGAGAGGACAGCAGTAGTCCTTTTTGTGGAAATAGGCACCTTTCTAAAAATGATCTACCCCTGGGCATGACGCATACAGAAATTTAAATGAGAAGGAAGTAAAGACACCCGCTAGCAATAGTCATATCCATCCCTCACCAGGTGGGACAATGGGAAGCTAACTTTGTGTTTATAACTAAATAAAAAACTCTGCTACACATTTTTCAGGTTGTAGGTGGGAAGGTCAAACTGAAGAGGACAATAGGTTTCCAATCACAGTGTATATTAACTGCCCCTCCATTCTGAGAAGCTTAAGGTCTTCAAGACAGTGAGAGGGCTAGTTGAACAACAACTCCAAGTATATGCAAGCATGTTTCCAGCTATTACCAGGGCACGAGGAGATACCATATAGAAAGATCCAGACACCTGGCAACCAAACTGGACTGCCTTCCTTCCTGTAATTTTATACTCATCTGCAAAGCACAGAATCCTCACACCTCTTACCACTCCCTAGGCATCCAGTAGCTCATCACCCCCAGCCTCAATTGGCAAAAGGGTAGTAGTCTTTTCATGGAGGGGAGAAAATCAAGTTCTTCACTAGCCAGCCCACCCTTGTAGACATGGCTCTCAAACCCCAGGCTTTCAGAAATGGACCACCTTCTAGAAGTGAATGCAGAAAGCACTTCTTCTGAAGAGATCAGTAGTTAATTCCTAATTCTTTTGAAAGCCCAGTGACAGCTCTAGACACCCACAAAAAACTAAACACATGCAGTTTATATGCAATTTCACTGGGGTTTACAGTCCTCTTAGGAGGAAGAGAAGGGCAGAAAGAGTGGCTGTGCTCAGCCAGGAAGCTGCGTGTGGCCCAGATGAATATTCAGCAATACAGGAGAGAAGTGCATGCCCTTTACTTAGCTACTGCCAGTTCTAGCCTTCAGTTAACCTTTGGATTGCAATAAGAATTTGGAAACCAAGAGCACATGTACTCATGCAGGTACATACCCCAGGGACTCAGCTTCCTTGTGGCTTCCTATCTTGACTTCACAAAATGTCTGTGATTGCTAGTCAAGACAGTCTCCAAACAGGGCTTAGTATAGGACAGCTGAGTAATAACAGGGATAAGAAGTGGGGGAAAGGTGGACTTTGGAAGGGAGGGTAATTCAAACAAGGAGACGCTGGGTCTGAGTGGGTCTTGGCAGGGCAGGTTCTGATCTTTGCTACCTGCACTCCCTGGAAATTAAGGCAGACCTGGTGACTCCTTTGCGGCAAACTCAGAAGTCTTGACAGATGCAGCCCTTTCCTTCTGGGTCCTGAGGAGGGGAGAACATCCTCTCCTTTCTAGGGAGGAGAACCTGGCCCACAGCTTGCCCACAGCCCTCTCGTGGCCTGGGGGTGTCACTGCAGCCCACTCTGCATTGCTGGGCACAAACCTCAAGCAGGCAGCTCCAACAGTGGTTGAGCAGAATATTTAGTTACCAGTGGCAACTTGGCAACTGCCTTCAAGCCATGTGAGGCTGCATTTGCTTTTGATTTCTTAAACTAAGACTCAGGCTCAAAGTAATCCTTCTAAACGCCTCCCTAGTACAATCCCCATAGGGAAACTGTCCAAGACCCGCTTCATAACCCTGCTGCTTCTGAAACATTACCACTGCCTTATTGATCATTTCTTCTTGCATCACATGCAATTATGTACAATTGTTCCAAAGCTCAATAGAAATAGCAAGAATACACAACATCCTCCTTGCAGGCAGCTGACTAGATTACAAAATACTTTCAGGCCACCAAATACCTCCCAAATCCTAGGTTTCCAGGATCCCAGAGGGATTTTGGACTTAAGTGAGAAAGAATGTAGACGGACAGCTACAAATGCAAACAGAGGGTGCTCATTAAGGAACTTGAATTCCACTCTCAGAAACAACTCCAGGAGGTAAGAGTGGAGCTCACCTGGGCTGGGAACTGGACAGAAAAGACTATAGAGTCTGGACATCTTGGGATGCAGCTGCCATCACTCATCTGCAAAGCACAGAATCCTCACACCTCTTACCACTCCCTAGGCATCTAGCAGCTCATCCCCAGTCAGCGTGAGGACAATTAACCCAACTCAGTGGTGGGACAGTGTGCAGGCAGGAGAGAAGGTGGGAAGTTTGGCAAGAGAGAGGAATGTGCAGAGTGTGTCTGAAGGGCCTAGCATAGAGCAGGTACCAAGAGGGACTGGGGCCAGGGGAATGGCATGAGAGTGCCAGAGGGTCTTTTCTTTAATGGGGAATCCTTACCTCCTTGATTTTCTCCCTCTGGGCTCGCACGCGACCCTGGGGCTCCTCACTTTCATTGGCCCTTGTCCCCAGGACTGGATGGCGGAGGCGGCTCCGGAACGCGTTAAAGTCAAAACTAAACAGGACGTTGTCGTCCCCCGGCCTGAGGGCCGCCGTGGCCTCCTCCCGGGACCCGGTGGGGCGGGTGTGCCGCAGCCACCCTTTCCTGCGGTGAGGTTTGACCCGGCTGTTGTGGTCATCCTTACCCGGGGCCGGAGCTGCGGGAGCCGGGTTGGGGGGAGGCTCCCGCTCGCGGACTGGGGGATGGCCAGCGATTTCTGCCACCATCTCCAGGCCAGGCTGTTGGGTCCGGGGGGCCAGGAAGAGGCGCTTGAGGCGAGAGGAGTGGGGCAGCAGGAAGAGGGCCCCGAAGCACAGGGTGACGAGGCCCGAGAGGAAGAGAAGGAAAAGGAACTTCTGTGGCAGCCGCAGCCCCCACGGGGAGGCCGGGACGAAGCCGGGCGCTTTCCTCATAAGCATGGTGGCCTGGCAAAGGGCTAGGGACCGTCAGCTCCGTCCGGGTCCCCAGAGGCCCTTGGGGTCCAGGCACGTGTCCTCAGGGTGCTCGGTGAGGAGAGGGTGTCCAGGAGCGCTGCCTGGGATGGGGACCCTTGGATAGGGCTGCCAACCCTCACAGTTTGGACGCTTCAGGGACTGTCCCTGAAGTTCAGCGAGTTTTGAGCGAGTCTCCCTGCGTGAAGGCGGGGACACACCGGCCTTGGCGGGGCCCGGGCGAGCCAGGCGGCACAGCTCGGGGCCCGGGCCCGCAGCA